CCCCGCCGGGGCCCAGTTAATTCCCCCCCCCCAGGCCCAGCTCAGGGCCCCGCGGTTCCGCCCCACCCCAGGGCCTTTGCGCTCACTGCTCCCTCCTCATTCCCATCTCTCCTCATTCAGACCAACCCGGGGAGCTCAAAGCCCTTCCCTGGCTCTCCCACCGGTGCACAGCCCTGCTCATGAGCTCTGTGCCTCAGTCTCCCCACCAGTAAAAAAAAAAAAAGCAGCTGAAACTGGAGGAGTAAGGAGTTGGAGGAGGTGTTTAAGCAGCGGAGGATGGAGTCTGCTTGTTAGAAGCTCCCTCCCTCCCTCCCTATCTGTATTCTACACAAGGGTTAAAGAGGTGCCTCATCAGCCCAGGCAGCAAAGTCCCATCGCCAACTCAAACCACCAAAAAGCCCAAAGTGAAGCTGCAGCTCAAGTAGTAGAGAGCCAGCTCTGAGTGGAAAAAGGTAAGGGGCAGTGTGCGCCCAGGCCCCGAGTTCAAGGGCCAGGCCCAGGGCCAGGACACAGACAAAGCAAGGACAAGAGCACCCGGCCCAGGGGGCCTGCACTGCCCTGCCCGGAGTAAATGATGGGGCCAGGGGTGTGGTGCAAATAAAGGGGAGAAGCAGCCGGATGCCAGTGGCTCACGCCTGTCATCCTAGCTACTCAGGAGGCTGTGATCTGAGGATCGCCATTCAAAGCCAGCCTGGGGAAGGAAAGTCCACGAGACTCTTATTACCAATAAGCCACCAGAAAACCGGAAGTGGTGCTGTGGCTTAAGCGGTAGAGCGCTCGCCTTGAGCTGAGGGACAGCGCCCAGGCCCAGAGTTCAAGCCCCAAGACAGACCAAAAAATTAAATAAAGGCCCTGAGTTGGGACTCCGAGTCTGGAGCCTAGGCCCTGATGTGAGGTCTGCCGGGGCCTTCAACCCAAGGGGGGCCGGGGAGCCAGGACAGACAGTTGCCCTCAAGTGTAAAGGGATGCAGAGATGTCATGAGTGGGGCCTCGTCTGAGACAGGCTTGCTGGTAGTGTACGGCCTTGAATCTGTGGTCCTCCTACCTCAGCCTCCAACCCTAGGATTACAGGCACGTACCACCCTGCCTGGCTGTTTAAGAGGAGCCTTTCGCAGCTTCTTGAGAAGAAGCCATCTTTAAAGCAGAAGAGTCTCGGGTTGGACACTGGGAAGACAGGCCGGACTGGCCCAGGACACCTCAGCACAGGCCTGGGGCTCGTCCACAGGGTGGACCCGCCCCATGCCTCCAAAGGCCTGTGATAGCTCTGGGCTCTGCAGGAGGTCAGGGCGTGATGGCAGGATCCTAGCCCAGGCCCCGAACATGCGGGGTCCCCTCAGCCCCCTGGGCAGGGCCGGAGGCTGGACCTCCGGCAGCCCTCAGTCAGGAGAAAGCACCGGCCACCTTTTGCCTTAATCTGCCTGAGTTCCTGCCCTGGGCAAACACGGAAAGCAGGGGTGAAGGGTGGAGAGCGAGCACGAGAGGTAAGAAAACACATGGCTGCCGGGAAGGAGGCACCACGGTGTGGGGCTGGGGGCCGGTGAGCCGGGGGGCCTGGGCACAAGCCAGGAGGCCCCCACAGAACCTAACAGATCCCTGCTGCCCAGGGCCAGATCGGCGGGCAGGGTAGCGAGGTCGGTGGCGCCGGCCCCGCCCCACTCACCCTCCTTCCGCATGCCCACCCGGAAGCACTTCTTAAGGCGGCAGTACTGGCACTGGTTCCGGTGGTGCTGGTCGATCTGGCAGTCCCGGTTGGACCTGGATAGGGACAGAGACCCGGGCTTTGTGAACCCTGGCTCCCCCCCCACTCCTCCCCCTCCACTCCCTGGCTGGACCTGGGGGGGGGGCAGAGGCCAGGGCTGAGCCCATGCCCCCCCCCTCTGCCCCCAAGCTCCTTGGCTGGGACAGGTGTGCAGAGGACGACGACGGGAGTGGGCCCCGCGGGATGCATGAGTCCATGGGACAAAGTTTGTGAGCACACAGTGGAACTGGGTTTTGCAGGATGAACAGGAGTTGGGGGAGGGGAAAGGCATTTCCAGCAGAGGGTGGGGAGTACCACTTGTCTAGGGGTCCCGGCAGGGGTGCCAAGAAGCAAGGGAGGAATGAGGAAATGGGGGGGCACCTGGCCTCCTCCGCGGCCAGCCCCAGGCTGAAGACCTGACCCTGTGTTCCGATGCCCCCGGCCCGTGTGTGCGCATCCTGCCACTGCGGCGCAGGGTGCCCGGAGGCTGGAGTGCCCCCCCACACTTTCCACAGGACGCACAGGGCCTGGGGACCCCAACATGCGCCGGGAGTCCGGGGACGGGGCTGGGGTTCCGGCCAGGATGGGGCCCCAAGTCCAGGAACAAAGCCCGGAGCAGCGAGGGGAGGGCCTGGGCGGCGGCGTGGAACCGGCCGGGACAGCCCCCCGCCGTCCGGGTCCTCTGTCCTGGGGGGCGCACCCCCAGCCTCTGCCTCAACTTCCCCAGCTCTGGAATGGGGGCGTGTGTCAGCTCCGCTGGGCGCCCCTGGGGCTGGCCGCCCACGGCGCTGCCCGGAGCCCTGGCCTCCACGGCGCCAGGCGGCCTCGGG